CGCCCTTAAAAATTTTTTTTAAATTTTATTATAAATTAATACAAAGGTTATTAAATAAAATAAAAAAATAATATTAATTAATTATCAAGTTCATTTGCGTAGTTAAAAAATTTTCTTATTGTTTTTCACAATTAATACAAAATATTAAAAAAATATTTTTCGTAAATAAAACACATGTTGTCAAGGTTTTTTACGTCAAGCGGAATAAATTAATTTTGAATAAAAAATAATTTGAAATAATTAGGGGTATTCTAGAGACATTGAAATTAATTTTAAAAAATTTAAAAAGACATAGCATTCAATTATTTAAATTAAAAAAAAATTAAATTATTGGTTATATAAAAAATAATTCAAAAAATTTAAAGGAAGGAATTAGCATTTATTTAAATAAAAATTTAAAAGCAAAAATTATTTTAAAAATTATATGTTTACTTTAAAATTATTTTAATTATAAAGTCGCAACAAAGGAGTCACATGCGAATAAAAATAAGGGTTGAATTTTTAAAATTTTTAGATGTGACATCCCTGACCTCACTATAAGATAATATTTTGTCTGATAATTTAAAAAAATATTTATCTTAAATAAAAAAACCTCAAGATAAAGTGTCACCTCAAAAAGATGTCACCTCAAATCAACGGTTTACTATGAATTTACTTAAATTGAGAGGTATCGCTCAAGGGTGGCTGTTAAGACCAAAACGGCCCGAATTGAAGACTCAATGATTTGGTTTCGATTTGGATCAGTATATCCGAAAACCTTCCTAGAACCGACAATGATATTATTAATCAGCCCCTTAACTCAGCGGCCAGCTAAAATAAAAAAAACCGTCAATATAGGTCTATCTTAAAGTGAGGTTGCCGACTTGAATTTGATTAAAAGTTCATGACTAGAATGATTATATTTCAATTTAAAGAGAAAAGTATTAAGAAAATTCAAATTCTTGGGGGTATCCATTTAGGTTTGTAAGGCTTCTTCTCAGAACCTTCCTCAGCTTTGGTTTTAAGTTTTGAATTTTCATTTTCCTTTTTATTCTTAGAATCTTCATTTTCTTTCGCTTTTTCGTTTCTACTTTTATTTAATTCAGAGAGAATTAAATAAGAACCTACGCCAGAACCTACAGCTGTGCAGGCTGAAAGCATCAAACCTGCAGCTGCACAAGCGGTTTTTACACGATTCATTCGTTTATCTCTAACAAGTAGATTATTTCCTGTTTATTAAAATTTAAAAATAAAAATTTGATAAAATTTTTCTGACTTTACTTTAAAATACAATCAATAACACAGACTTCCGAAAAATCCTCCTCCGATTTTTTTTCGATAGAACTCAGACCCTGAAAGTCTCAAACCCGACGCAGACTCCTAGACATTTCAGGTTCAACCTCTACTAAAGATTTACAAAAATTAAAAAATCTTTGGTTGGCCACCGCATGATGGTTGTTGGGGACGGTGGTCATAGGTGTATCTTTATCTCTATTTAAGAAAACCTCATAGTCAATTTTTATCTCCAAGGTTATCGTTTACATCGAGGTCTGAAGTATTTTTTGTCTTAAACTATTATTAATTTCCGGGATAAAGTCTCGTGCAATAAGTCTAACAAACACGAATCTCTATCAAGCTATATCAAATAGATAATTAAATAAAAATTTTAAAAATAGATTAAAAACTAATTTTTTTAATAAAAATTACCCATAATTTTAGCATCTACAAAAGCATAATTAAATAAAATATTAAATAAAATAAAATTTAAAATAAATTTTTTGGAATAATTTTGAAGCATTATTAATTAAATTAACAAAAAATTAAATTTTAATAATTCTTGTCAAATTTTCAGAATTTAAATATAAATATTTTTTGCGATTTAGTAAGCCTGACGTAATCAAAAAAATAATTATTATTTAATTATTACATCAGAATTATTAATTTATTTATTAAATCAGAATTATGCAATTAATTAAAGAAAGCACTTTAATAATTGTTAATGGACGCAAAAATTGTTTTATAATATTAATAATAAATTCTAGAAAATTTGGATAATGACATCTAAATGTCAATAAAATGGATAATGACATCTAAACGAAATTGTTAAAATTAATTTAAATAAAATCCGGATAAATTTTTCAATAAAATTTCCAGAAAGATCCAATGCATCCTTGTTTATTTAACGATAATTTACTGCGTTTACCAAATATGAAAGTACAGGACAGGTGTGAGTCTTGAAGGCGTGTCTTGTTTCCTTCGTCGTTCACCAGGATAACGCCATTTTCGATCTGAATTCTAGCGCCCCTGATACAGGGCGAAGTTCAAATTTTGCTATGGGTTACTCCTATATATAAATAAAAAAAATACGACAATGACGTCTAAAATTCAAAAATTCCCGTCTACGGCACTTAAAAAAGCAACACTTAAGGTCAGACCGTTTAGGAAGCCTTTAGGAACCGGAAACGTGGAACACTTTGATTTTTATGAACAGAACACCACATTCATTGGATATCTTAATCTTTTACTAAACAATTAACAATAATCTCGTTATTTCAATAATTTAATTTTATTTTTAAATATTAATTACTAATATTCGTTCTTTATTAAAAAATATTTATTTGTAATAATTTTCTCATTATTATTTTTATTTTTAATAAACAAAAACAAATTTGTCAAAACAAAAACAACCATAAAAATATTTTTAAAAATCACAAGAAACTCTAAAATTTATTTTAAAAATAGGAAAGGTAAATTTATTTATTAAACAAAAATAAAATTATTAGTAAACAAACAATATTTTCAAAATAAATTTAAAAGTTTATTAAATAAAAATTAAACTAAAAATAATAATTAATTATTAAAAATTATAATGAAGTAGAAATGCTCCTATATAAAGTCCAAAATTCTATTATTAATTTAATATCATTTAAATTACCCAAATTTTTTTACAAAATATACTTGCCAAGGTGTTCCTCAAATTCTAATTTTAATATTAATAATACAAGGATACTGTCGAATCTCGATATACAGATCCTCTCGATTTTTGCTTCGAGACTTTGTATGTCAGATCAAGGGGCCGTTATATATTGGACTTTTAGATGGATATCTTTTACCAGTCGAAAAGTATACATAAGATACCATTTGTATCTTCTAGTAGAGACAGGGCATTCATTTTCATAGATCTCTCAGGAATGTATGAGGTATTGAATAGAGCCAGTCCTTTTATCAGCAATTTGCCGGTAAACTATTGTTAAATTAATCACAAGATTATAGACAGCCATATTTGAATCATAAAAAATATTTTGAAAAATTTTCAAATTAAAAATGGAATCTTTAAAAATTATTTTTCTACTTGCTTTTGTTTTAATGATTGGAGGACTTGTTTTTGCACAAATGGAAACACAACTTGAAGGAGGAAGCGGAGAACGAAGTTCAAATTTCTATAAAAATTTAAAATAATTTTTAGTTAAACGCTTCGGATATTGGAGTGGAGGCGGTGGAGGTCGCGGAGGAGGACATGGAATACATGGAGGTGGAGGAGGAGGGCATCACGGATGGCATTAAATATGCGGAACATTTAAATATAAAAAATTGTTTTATAAACAAATTTAATACATACTACCTGAAATTTAATTTTTATTAGATTAATAAAATTTCTATAAATTAAATAAAAATCTTATAATTTTATTAGTAGCTTATTTAAGAGATTAATAAAAAATATTAATATAATATAAAATTATTTCATCAAATAATGGACCTCACTTTAAGATACACTCAATTTAATATATTTTTTTGAAATTTTATTGAACACTTGGGAGCTGCCTAGGAAAAAACAACCCTCCTTTTAAGAATTTAATATTAGCCTCTATTTAAGATACAACTCATTATAATATATAATTTTTAGTGCACGGATGTAGCTTATAGTGAGATTCAACTAAGGTTAATAAAACTTTTTAGATAATAATTCTAAACACAATTAATTCATATCCACTTTAGATTAAATCTCAACGTCGTCCAAATCCCCATCCACAACCCATTCCGCCAAGTGGAAAACCGCCAAAGACCGGGCCACCGAAAAAGAGGTGATGTCGGCGAGCTAAAACATTTTATTAAAGAAAAAATTAAAATCTAAAAATAATGCCTCTATCATTTTGCGGATCATCCACCGCATTTGCATTAAAAATAAGAATAATATTGAAAATAAAAAATAAAATAAAAATTAAAAATAATTTCAAGACCATTTTTAATTAATTTTTAGGAATTATTTTTGTATAAATAAAATATTTTAAAATGATGTAGACTATTTTTTTGGAAAAAATGATCAAATAAAAATAACAAAGGTTTTATTTTTCAGATCATAAGAAACTTTAAAACAAAAATTTTATAAATAAATAAAGTTTCAAAATATTTATAGAAATTACGATTTTAAAATTAGTAAACAATTCGTATAAGATCTTTAAATTTATTTTTTTTTCGAGAATGAACAGACTGAGACAAGGAATACAATCTAGGCATAAGGACAAGTCTTGGAGGGGGATACAAGGATAAGTCTGGGATTTTTAAACAATGGATCAAGATCAACTCTACATTAAAATATAATTCTCTAATTTAGAGGTAGTTTGGAGAGTAGAGAGATATGTTGAATAGAATATTCGTTGGAATAATTTTTAATATCTCGAAGTTGATGTTCTATTTGAACTTCTGCCGACCTTTATTGTCCTTAACAGAATAATTTTCAAATATAATTTCCATCACCGCGCCCTTCAATACTACATTTGAGGTCTTGATAATCACAGATCATAAGTTTGAGAATCTATATTACAAAGATTTTTGCGAGATAGTAACACTGAATCTTGCTCCTAAAGTTCAAACACTAGTTTTAAGTCAAACTTCGACCAAATGCTAATTACCTATAAACAAGACAGCAAAAAAATTTATTTAAACTTATAGCTTTTAATCATAATTTTAAAAAAGTCATAATATTATTTATTTATTATATAGGTAATACATGCATTCGTCAATTAAAAATTAAATATAATAAATTTTTGAAAATCTTTTTCACGTTTCTTTTTCCTTGAAATATTTTTCATAAAAAAATTATTTTTAACGGCGCCCGTAATATCCATATCCATAATTATTTCCCCATCCCCAACCATTCCAAGGCCACCACCAGCCTCCTCCTCCACCATAGCCTCCCCAGCCATAACCACCATATCCATGATGGTGGTGATGTCGGCGTACTATAAATTAAATATATAAATCTTTATATAATATAATAATGTTGAACATTACTATATGATAGGCTAAATAAAGACACTCAAATTGTTATTTGTAAGTAGGGTTCTTGGTACGGAACCAGCTAGTAAAAAGAGGATTTTTCTGTCGGTCCTTCGGTTCTGATCCGAAGATTTTTCGGGAACAGACAACTCTAGATAAGAGCTTTGTTTTGAAAGAGATTTATTTAAGATATAACTCTGTGAAGTATAATTTTTCCAGATACAAGTTGTATCCCTATTAGAGACGAGCTGGGTCTGGACCAAGGCCTAGGTGTTTCCTCTACCCATATTCCAGGCCCAGGCATTTTTTGAACTTCCTGGGGTTTTCCTGGGTCTGGGTTTTCCTGAACTATAGGCCCATGATCCGGCCCTGGTCAATAAATCGAACCCAGAACCCAGGAACAGGCCCAGGCTTTTCAAAATCTCGATCTTTAATCCCTATAATATGTTCGACTGTATTTTATTTTTAAAAAATAATAAAGGCCCAGGCTCTTATTAAAAAAATTTTTTTTAATAAAAACTATGCCTCTCTCATTTTCAGAATTTTCAGAATTTTCTAGCGAGTTTACATTCACAAATATCAAATTAAATAATAAAATAGAAAATAAAAATAAAATAAAATTTAATTTAAACATCATTTTTGAATAATTTTAGTTAATTTAAACACAAAAAATAATTTAAGGTAATACTAATTTATTTTATTTATATTTAAGTTGGATAGGTAGAAATTGATTAAAGACCATTTTTGGAGAGAATTAATCATTCACATCCTTTTTAGATTTTTTCATGTGATTTTTTCAGTTAATTTAACATTTTAAATTATTTGGTACTTGTTTCCACATACCTAATTAATTTATTTCCAGACTATAAAATACAAAGAATATTTTTAGTTGTGTTAATCAACTCAAGAATTACATAGAATTTATTTTTAAAACATTTATTTGACGAATAATAAAGTTAAAAAAAATTTTAAGAAGATAGATAATTTTAAAATTAATGAGAATGTCAATACAAATTTATTTAAAATATTTTCCAAAATTTGGTAATAAGAAAGAATTCAATTGCAAAAATGTGAAAAATAAATTTTTTTTTAATTTTAAAATAAAAAAAATTTTTTCTTGAGAGTTGATTTAATAACCTTGACGATTTTAGAGAATTCGAGAAAAAAAATTGGGGCAGCAAAAATGAATTTTTTGGGAGTTATTGGGGTTAAGACTTGTCAGTGTTTCTGGATCGGGATTGGTTCTCTATACATATTAATACAGTCGGACTTAGCTTATGTGTACCCCACATTAATACATAGACCCTCAATTTAGTGTACTTTCTTTTAAAAATTAGTTTTGCCATTGGGGGGGGGGGGGGGGGGGGGGAAGAGTTTTTGGAGTTTTTTAGAGTCTTTTGTGTTGCCCCGGAATTTCCGGTTCCGGTAGGCCGGCAGTTCCGTGATTTTTTGGTTCTCTCAGTTCCGGTTCGCGGTTACTACTGTCTATGCAATACTCCCATTTTAGAATATCGTTATAGAGCAAAATTTCTCTGTCACAAAGGCATTCAGCTAAGTAAGGTCCGACTGTATCCGATTTTTTAAATAATTAGGAAAAGATTACATAATTTTCATAACAAAAAAATTTAAAAAACATAATTAAAGATTAAAATAATAAAAACAAAAATAATAATCATTTCACCATTAAATCGTCTAAAAGATTTTCCTCCACCGTTTTGATGCCGAATTAAATTTTGTGAAGTCATAGACTGCTCTGGTTGAGGGGGAAGTTGAGGAGCAGGAGGAGGTGCAGGAGGGAAATTGCCTGTTCCATAAATTCCTTCCGTTGGGATACACGGATTTGGAGGTGGACGGCACTTGTAAGTGACAACTTAAAATTGAAATACAATCGGACCTTACCATGAAATCTGGGGCTAAAGAACATATTTTATAATGATGGGTATTTTATTATATGGGCTAAGCTTTGCCTAGGGTTAAGTTTTGCCCTTAAATTAAATTTACCTGGAGCTGTTCTGTAAGGCTGAAAATGAGGCTGCGGTGGAGGGGGTGGCGGTGCTGGTGGTGAAGGTGGAGGTGGAGGTGGAGGCCTAGTGAAAGGAGTTGTACTTGTTGTTGTTGTGAGTTCTAAAAAATCACAAATTAGATGATACTAATTATATAAAAAATTACTAGTTGTTGGAGGAGTATTGTATGGCTGTGGTGGTGGCCATAAAGGCACGGGATACTGATCATCTATAAATTATAATTTATACAATTTAATTAGAATATAGTATTCAACCATTCCATGGGGCTATATTTTTCAATCATCCCTCCTGTTGATTGGGAGAGGGAGGAGGTATTAATGAGGGGGTACTGATTCAGAGTGAGACCCTATTTTTCAACAGTCTTCCAAAGGGGAGGCAGTCTTCCATAAGGCTATATTTTTCAACTACCCTCAAGGGATTAGGAAAGGGAAGAGGTATTAATAATGAGGTACTTAAGAAGGAGACCCTTTCAGAAGGAGACCCTATTTTTCAAGAGTCTTACAATGGGGCTTTATTAAAGAGGCGCTCTAATTCAGATGGGGGCTTTATTATAAGTAATACGATACAAATTATATTAAAAATAAAAATTAAATATAAAATTAACTACCAGAATTAGCTATACAATAAAAAATTTCTAAAAACAAAATTCTAATAATCAACAAAAATAACAGCATTTTTAGTTCAATTTTACAATTTATAATTTGTATTTATTTAAAAATTAAAAAAATTTTTATTTAAAACAAAATTCTAACAAATAACAAAAATAACACCATTTCTAGTTTAATTTTACAATTTATAAATTTGTATTTATTTAAAAATTGAAATTTTTATTTAATAAAAAATATTTTTAAATTTCCTAGCATTTTTATATAAAAATTCTTTTATTATTAATAATTTTTTTCTTTTATTAAAATCAAAAATAAATTTGTTAAGGAACAATGAAAGAAATAAATTTATTTTTAATTTATTTTTCCTTTATTATTTTTCTTTAAATCAAAATTAAAAACTCAAAAAAATTTTTTAATAAAATAATTTTTCTAATTTCTTTTTTTGATTAAAAGATTAGTAATATGAATCAAGCGAGAAAGGAAAGCAAAATTTCAAAAATAAATTGAAGAATAATGATTTTTTTGAAATTATGGAAATTATTTTTGGAAATAGATTGGATAATGTTAAAACTGAGAGTTCTCACTTTCTTACTCAGTCTCTCTTTCTAGCTTAGAAAAATTATTAATCAAGCTTAAAAATTATTAGTGAAGCTTAACAATCAGTCAAACTCTCGAATATTGAGATTAGGTTTTTTCTATATGAAAAATACAAAAACTTTTTGAACTAGTTCAATACAAAAAAATTTACTGAATAATAATAATTTTTTTGAAGTAAGGAAAATGTTTTTGGAAATAAATTGGATAATGTTAAAATTGAGAGTTCTTACTCTCTTACTCAGTCTCGTTTTCTAGATCAGAAAAATTATTAGTGAAGCTTAACAATCAGTCAAACTCTCGGATATTGAGATTAGGATTTTTCTATATGAAAAATACAAAAACTTTTTCGAACTAGTTCCTAGATCAGGCTCTTTGGAAACCTTATCTTTTTAAAGTCGATGAGTTCCTGATTATTCATAATAATTTTGAGAAACCTTATCTCTCGATCCCTTAGTTAACAATACGATGGATGTAGGTGTTCAAAGCTATGGTTAACTTTTACTGAACATTTCCGTGGAAAATAAAATTTCAAAATCATAGATCTTAAAATTTTTGTTTTCATAATGTATTTCCAAACATTCTTGTTTACTTGCACTTTATGTTTACCCAATATAGCATTTCCTATTATCGAATTCTAATACGTGGATTTTTTAGATTTCTCAATCACTAAATAGAGTGGTTGTTGAATTGCCCTCTCCCCCCTCTCTCCCCCCTCTTCCCTTCCCTCCAATCCCCCCCTCCCCTCCCCTCCCCCATCTCCCCTCCTCTCTCCATTTTCAAAATTTTATTTTATTCACTCACTCATTGTAAATTATTGAATAGCCCTTTTTTATTAAGAAAAATGTTTTTAAATTTAAAATTATTTTTATTTCTTTTTCTTGTTTTAACAAAAAATACATATCAATCTGGAGATGATAAAGCAAAATGGGCTATGTCGGATGCGGAAGAATATTCCTCCTCGGAATGTAAACCATTTCTTTTTAATTAAATTTGTTTTGAAATAGTTTATTTTTTCTTATTTTAAATACGGATAGGGGATATGCTTGGATATTGCAGGAGGGTCTTCTTTTTTTAGCTCCGCAAGAGAAAATTCTGAGAATTTTGGAAAAAAGATGTCAAATTTTTTTCAATGTTTGGCACAGACGGGAGAAATTTTAGGAGGAAGGCCAGAACAAATTTTTTCAATAATAATTGCCGACATCTGTATTTTTGGTGGAAGAGGAAGCGGAAGGGACAAAAAAAGACGGAACCCATCCCTTGCGAGGATACAGAGTCGATGCGTTAGGAAAAATTTTGGGCAGAAGTTCCCACCAACTTAGGTGTGATTTTCTCAGATTCCCGTACGAGTGATTACCGAAGCGACTATAAACCCTTAGGTGTCTTGTCACAATTGTAAAATAATTCCCTAATCTTCATCTAAAATTATCATCTAAATTAAGCTTCAAATGAAAATTGGATACATTTACAAACAGACCATTTATTTTCATCAATATACTCCCGTCCTTCAAGTAGCTATTCACCTCAAATTCCCCAAATTGATCCAAGATTCATCTTTCCACACTTGCCAATACCTCAAACAATCATAAAAGATTGCGAAAATGAAATAAAAAAAGAAAATTTGACAGAAGAACAAATTCAGATAAATGAGAAAAATGAAAGAAAAAACTTTTCAGGATTGGTTAAGGAGCATTTTATTAAATTTGGTTGGCCTGAAGAAGAAAAATTCCAAAATGGAAAGGTAATTAGGGATATTAACAATGAAAAAATTTACAAACGGATAATTTATTTATCTTAATAATAGTGTCTTGATTTAAAGTAATGACTACAAGTCAATGGAAACCTCAAGAAAATTCGAACTTATGAGCAGATTAATTAGAATTTATCAGTCCTGGGTATTGGGAATTTATTTGGTCTCTTGGCTCCGACTCCGGGCATTTCAAATTTCTGAGCCCGGCTCCGGAGCAAGCTCCTAGAGCCATACCCAGCACTGGAAACTTTATACCTAGATAATATATTAAAGCGGTTGCAGTATCTCAGTGCCTCGATGTGATTTATAATGTTATAAGCTGTGTTGCGCATGCTTAGATCATTCCTGAACTCCGCAGTGAGCGTGTTACACGTAGAGAAATATAGGATAACGTATGAGATACATGTCCCTATTAGACAAGATGGACTGTCCTCATGGGACGCTTGATAAATGAAGATGTGATATGGAGGTATGGTCACATTAGTAAAGTATCAAATTCTAATAGTTGGAAATAATTTATAATTTTTCCTTATCCAGGATTATCTGCTAAGCAAAAATATCCTAACAAAAATTGATAATTGGCTTCTAGCAGTAATTGAACCAAATAATAAAGCATTTGAGCAAACATATAAATCGAAAGAACCTGATTTTGGCCATACCAGGGATAAAGTAATGAAAATAGTACTTGATGCAGTAAATGAATATTCGAGGTTTTATTAGTTAAGTTAATTTATAATCCAATTTTTTTGATAGTTGTGTAATCAGATCAAACCAAACAAAGATTATTATGATAACTGGGCCCTTGTCACTGAATAAAATGAACGAAAAATGGGAAAAGGACTTTACGTTCAACGGTTTAGTTAATGAATATAAGGTATTTTGAAATTTATTGTAATATAGACGAATAATGAATAGGCTCAGTAATTAGTAAGCCCTATTTACCTCTCCAATAAATTTGGACATAAAATATTATTATTTATTTTCGTGGCTAAATAATATATCTAGGCTGTGCAAATTATAGTTTGTTGTGTCCAAAAGGATAGAAATAAATAAGCCCAAATAATATACAGCTTTACCTCAATTTTACATAATCCCAAACTAACTAATTCTCAATTTGGATACTTTTTTCAAGTTGGTGAGTAAGTTAGAGCTGCCTAAGCGATACCCACAATTTAAAACACTCATTATCAAGGCTTAAATTATAAGACACTCATAATTTAAGATGATTAAAGTGAAAAAATTTATTAGATGGGAGATTATGGAACCAACAAGGAATGAGTTAAGACCTAAGTATAATCGTACGACCACCGTCCTACCATTGAATCTTTTATTTTAATTCATCTATATTTTTTCTGCGAGTATGGACAACTGTAGCTATAGGCTTTACAATATTTTAATAATAAAATTCAATTATTCAACTTTAAAAAAATTTATTCAGTTCGATGATTCAATAAAGCATTCAAAAACAACGCATTTTTTCAAAATTTTATTAATTGAAATTGAAAAAGAAAAATACTGTGTTGATATACTTATAATCAGAGCTACTAGACATGAATTAAAAAGAATTTTATCTAAAGGAAAAAATCCTAAGGATTGTGGGAAGGAAAAATTGAATGAATTTGGAGACGATTGGAAGATCCAGCTTGAATTTATTGAATGGTATTTGGGTATAGATTTGGATGAATTTATGGAAGCAGTTGGAAATGGATATCATAAGGATATTAAAAGTAACAAAATTTAAGTATAAGATGATGGGATGATGGTGGGGAGGCTCCGGGAGCCGGCTCGGGAGCAAACTCCGTAGCCGGTGTCAAGATACATCAAATATCCAGCATCTTCTATCCACAGCTTAGAAATCCAATATCCACACCACAATTTAAGACACACTGCTGGTGTGGTTGATGGGGGAAAGGGGCCTACAAACAATAACATTAACGGGACAATAACCACCTAAACAATCCATGTCTTATCTCATAGTGAGGTCCGATTCAGCCTACGAATTACGATTTTCCGGAGCTGGCTCCCGAAAATCTTCGATTACGACGCAACTCTGGTCCGATTGTATTTTTAATTATAAATAAATTTAGTTTGTCACAATCACCATTTAACTGGGAAATATAAGCAAATTAAATCAAATAAAATTATTTCAAATACCATGATAGAGCCAACATTTAAACACAAATTTAATAAAATTTGTCAAAAAGAATCGGATAAGCAAAACATAAGAATTTATAAGGTAAAGATAAATTTTAGTTACAAAAAGGGCAATTATTAGGTTGTATATTTAGCCTAAGTCCTCGGCGAGGTTATTGGCGAGGATTGAGACCGAGGTTCCAAGGCCCGAGGCCGATCAATCCGAGAGAGAGAGAGAGCAAAATGGGCGAGGACCTCAGCCTCGGCGAGGTCTTGCCCTCGTGATACTTTACTATTTATATACAAGCAATAAGATCTATTTTGCTTTTGTTTTCGGACTACTACCTTTTTGGCCATTCAATCTTCCATTTTTATTTTCCCTTTTTCCCCGCTTCTCCTTTTAAAAATGCGGAGGGGTCCGACGACTCCGTTTAAGATTTATCAATTATTAAAATATCATACTATTATGAAAGTAAAATAATATTTTAAGGATTTTTTGGTCAGCTTTGATAGAAAAAGAAAAATACCAAAATGGACATTAGAGTTACTAGATCCTCTAATTATAAATAAAATACAAAGAGGTGGTCGTTGTCTTAGATGGGATCTAGATCCAAAATATAAAGTAGAGTTTCAACCAACATTTCATGATTATGATGATGGAAAGGTTCATTATCAGATTAGTTTTGTGATCACACTTAAACATATTTTTAGAGACACGAGTTGGAACATGGACATAATGTTCCTGCTTATAATCATCCAACAAATGTTAAACAAACATTTTACTATACAAATTCGGCTCCTCAAAATAAGCATATGAATGGAGGACATTGGCGGATTATTGAAGAATATATATTGTAAAAGTTTTAATTTGATTATTTATTGTAGGTTGTTTAGCCCATCAGACTATTTTGCATACAAACTCCATTAAATTTAGAAATTTATTCACATTTTCTGAAATTTAAATTAATTTGTCGAAAATAGAAGCTGAAGTAGTTTCTTCCAATATTCGACCAATGAGCAGGTCTAACCACACACAATTGAAAAGTCTAAAGCAAAGAAAAATGCAGGCTAAACTAAAATTTAGGGTTTGATATATTCTAGACTAGGCGTCACCAGTTTCAAAGAATTTAATTCAGTAAAATAAACAAATATTTACCATACGAATAAAATTATTAAGTGAAGAAAAGTTTTAAGCGAAGAAAGTATGAGTTATAACGTTAGTGTTAGCCTTTTTATTGTTCGGATTTCCTTCCCTTTTTTCAGTTAATGGTCACATTACCCATCAAATATTCCTTTTATACGGTGTTCGAGTACCGATTATTTATCTAATCAAATAAATATTAATTAAAGTTGTATGGCAAAAAGTGGACAAACAAGTGTTTATACAGGCCCATTATTCCTTCCTAAAGAGCAAATAATAAAATTTATGCTTATCGGGAAAAACGAATTAGCAGTACCCACAAATTTTTTTAAGATAGCTATTGTGGAGTATTTGAATGATATTGGAGAGATAAATTATTGGATTGAAGCATTTGTTCTTCCAAATGAATTTAATGAATTAATGAGTAAAAAAATTGAAGAAGAAATGCCTTTATATAAATTAAAAGAAAAATTGCCAGAATTTGTATTTAATTGCCGAAATGCCGGTTATAAAATCACTCAAAAAGAAAACTCGAAAAGGATTAATATCCACAATTTGATAGCTAATTATAGCGAATCTGTCGACTTTATTGAACAAAATTCTGAATTTAGAATTTTGACTAAAATCAAAAAAACAATTCGAAATTTGAAAGGAGGGCATAAATTCCATAAAGATAAAGCTGGGGAATTTCAAATTATTAAAGAAAAAGTTGTGGTAGAAAAATATTTGAAGAAAGAATTAATAAATGTAGAGGATGAACATGTAGAAGATGAAGTTTTAGAGGATGCTTCGATTAAAGAAAAATTAAATCTAGAAAATGAAGATAAATTAATTAAGAAAAATAATCAGAAAAAGAAGGAAGATAAGCGTCAGAAAAGAGTTAGTTTGATTTCGATATCATCGTCCTGAAATACCCTAATCTCCTAGATAATCCAATCATATGAAGGTCTAATATCCTTCTTATTGTTAGTCGATCAGTTGATTGTTCAGATAAGGCCTGTTAGTTATAAGGAAAAGTCCTAAGAAAAATAATTCTACGTAGTCACTAAAGACTAAGGTATGTGCGATATTAGGTTTTAGGACATTGACAAAAGAGAGTCTCTAATAGAATGATCACAAATGATCACACCGTTGATCACCACATTTCTATCTTATTGTTAGAAAGATGATAGCAAAATAGATTTTAATTTTAGAATTTTAAATTTTAGAATTATAAAGAATTTTATTATAATTTCAGATTAAAGCACAAAAGGCTAAAAGAACAAATAAAATAGCTTCAACTAGCAATTTATCCGAACCAGAAAAAAATATTCCACAATTGGAAGATTCAACACCAAGTCGATTAGCTGAATGTTCAGACAATTCAAATAACAATGAAAATGAGCAAGTTATTGAAGCTGAAGCAGAAGAAAGTAATAGAGTAATTTGGCTTAAGAAAATATGGAAATATTTATTTTCTTCTTAAAGCTGATTAAATATCTTTAAAATTTATTAAATAATCAAAATCCAAGGATAAATTTTTATTATAAAATTTAAAATAAAATTAAAATCAATTAATATTTTGTTAAAATATTTTTAATAATTTTTGAATTTTCAAAAAATATAAAATTATTAGGGCTGGAAAAATATGTAAATGGAAAAATATGCAAATTAAATGCCCAGATTACCCGAAAAAAGTATAAAATATCCAAAATTATGCAGAAATATTTTACTATTAATATGTATTAAGAGTTCTGCATGAGTCTAAATATCGGGCATGAATCAAACATCGAACTCGCTTTATCTAATAGGCGATCACGCCTTATGGATCTTTTAACCCCCGCCTATGCTTTTTAAATCCTTTAATAAATTCTTACATGAAAAATACAAAATATAAAATGAAATTTTGATTTTGCTAACTTAAATCCTCGATATATCTAGGCGGCTTTTAAACAAAATATATATGTTTGGCAAATTTCTTTGTCAGCTTTAATGGCATATTTTTCTCAAGCATATTTTTGGCAGCTCTAATACTTTAATTAATTTAAATTAATTTTTTAAACAAATACAGTTAGCAAGCATGAAGATGATAATGGACATAAAATTGAGGAAAAAGATTTACCAAAATTTATTGAAACTGAAGATAAAACAAAAGTGATTGAACAAAATTTAAAAAATACAGAAAATGAAATATTAGAAGATCAACTTGAAATTAATGAAGATTTTAATGAAATTGAAGAAGGAGAGATAATTGAAAATGAAGAGAATAATAATAGAAATACGGCCGAAGAAGATGAAATTAAATTTTTAAATGAACTTAAAAGAAGAATAAAAATGGGAGAAGATAATGCTGGAGATCATAGTAACGATACAACTGATTTGTCAGTTACAACTCGAAAAGGTAACCAAAAAAGAAATTTTTTAAGCTCATATCTTTGGAGAGACTCATATCTAACTTAAATCTTTACACAAATTCGCGGGCTAACTTTCAGATTGCCCATACTTCATGCCACCACAGGTGATGAGAAAGTTCCGGCTCTGGAACTGGAACTCAATAAATTCAAAAAGCACCTTTTCCAGAGAAATTTTTAGACCTTTCCCATCACTGGCAACCACTGATAACGACTCGTCTTAGCATAGTCTTATTTAGTTGCCCGAACTCGTATCTTGTATCACTCCTACTTTGGCTTTGTAACTCTTACTTGTTCATTTTAACTGTTCTACTTTGTAAAATTGCGAGTTACGAGTATGAATTCTGGTACGAGCTTCAAGCATAACGGCAAGACTGAAGCACAAAAGCTCTACTTTATAGTCCTTAGCTCCCCAAGGGTGTATTTTTTATGGTCAAACAAAAATTTTCGAATTTAATAATTAAAGAAAACCATCAACAAAAAATTACTGGGGAAGATCCAGTTGAAATAGATGCAAAAATATTACTTGAATTGGATAGATTATTCGTTGCAGGAAAACAACTAAATACACCATATTCTATAAATTTTGAAGACGTTTATGAATTTGCTCAGAAATATAAGGAAATGAGAGATAGAATTGAAAATTTTGTAAAAATCATAGAATATATCTATGAAGAAATATATGCTAATAAATTTGAACTATTATTCGAAGAAAATGACAAAATAAACTTATCAACAAAATTAAAATATATTTCTGTAAAATTTAAAGAGCATAAGAAAAAATTTGAAGAATTAAACTCAACTATAATCAATTTAAAAAAAATTAAAAATGAAAATCAGAAATGGGGAATGACATCTGAATTCGGAATGAGATTATTTGAAGATTATATCGCTACACTTTTTTGCAAAAATAATCACATATCACATTTGATTTTGAACGCCCCGTGTCATGCTACTATTAAAATACCTTTGGACGATCGTATATGTAAGCAAAATTGTTTTTATGAAGATATACATTTGGGGACTTTATACATTCAGGGACTTGAGATAGAAAAATTTATGTAAAATTGAATCAGGGCGGGTAACAACACTAATAGGGTTACCGTTTTCGAGTCGGGCCGACGGTCGAGGCATTTTTTACCGGGCCTGTTTTTATCGAGTCGGGTCGTTACGAGTCACTTTCGGGCCTAACTTTATCGAGTCGGGCCGTTACGAGTCTTTTTCGGGCCCAACTTTATCGAGTCGGGCCGGTACGAGACTTTTTCGGGCCAAACATCTAGGCCTGACTCGATCTTTCGGTCCGAGTCGGTCCATTTTGGCAACCCTAAACACTAACTTAAGATAGAGCTCCGTCTTTATTTTATTTTAAATTTAATAATATTTTTCTTGGAACGTTGAGCATAGCATATTATAATGATAGTCCAAGACCTAAGGCACCGTCCCGAATGGAAGACCTGGAGCTCAACACAGTCCGCTTACCTACCCAGAATATCTTTAGTTTCAAAATCAAAATAATGTTTTGGATTTAGGCCTTAGATTTCAGAATTTTAAAGCAATTTATCAGTTAATTTAAGCAAATATTCATTTGAACAAAGAACTGAAGAATATTGTTAATTGGATATACAAAATGAAAGAAGATGGCAACCTTTCTGAAGAAGATTTTTCGCCGTTTAAAAATTTAGGGATGATTGTTCGTTCATGGAGATTGGTTGAGATTATGCTTGTTAAGGGTCATGATTTGATTTCACAGGGTGATAGTCGAAATGGAATTTTAGTAAAATATGCTGCTTATACTTTTTATTTAAAGAGGTAATCAAATTTTAATTTTATAAAATCAGCATTAGTTTTACTTACGCCTAACAGTCAGATACACGCCCTAAATTTGTATACTACAATTTTGTATAGGATTTTTTCACTAGATGATAAATTATTTAATTTAATCCTCATCCTTTCTATAGTCCGACATTTTATGTTACGACAGTAGTAATGGAACCCCCCAAGTCGGCAACAATGGGGGTTCCATTACTACTTACGACCTATTTTTTATAACGTTGTAATTTATATAAAGCTCAAAAAATACTTACTATTTGGCACGGTACCGTGTTCATATTGACATCGGCCTGGGGCTGGACCAAGGTCTGGGTTTTTCATGTACCCAGAGTCCAGGCCCAGGCATTTTTTGACCTTCCTGGGTTTTTCCTAGGCCCGGGTTTTTCCTGGACTACAGGCCCGGTATCCTGCTCGGGTTAATAAATCAAACCCGGAACCTAGGAACAAGCAATGGCTTTTCAAAAATTCCGATCTATATTCCTACATAGGACCTATCTGAGCCTAAAAACCTATTTCAGCCATTTTGAGCCTATAATAATTAAAAATCTAATTAGAAAACTATTTCTCAATTTTTTGACCTAAAATATCCATCTATAATCATGAGCTACAGTATTTTAAATCCCAAAGGTGTATATAAATTTGAGTTAATAGAAAAATTTGCAGATTGATAATACATGTCATGTCACCAGATCGTAATATCTCAATTACTTTTGATAATGATAAAAACATGATAATATATTCTGAAGGTTCTATTTTACGTTTAATGACCGACAAGTTACGTGAAATTGCTACAAGATTTAAGGAATTTAAAGAATTTAAAAAAGAATGTTTATGTTTAATTAGATGGTTTGAAGTGATTTTTACAGAACTTGAATATATAAAAGTTTTAAAAAATTGTATAGAAGATGTAAAAAAATATTTGGAATTATTATAAAAATATACAGCCAAATCTCGTTATAGTACACATACTACTTCAGGGATGAGCCCTGTCTTATTTTAAAAGCGTTAGGCGGAATAGAACGGGTAAAGAAGACGGAACATATCAGAACCGAAAGAGATCCCTCCCTCCTATAGCTGGTTGGGCAAATATGTCCAAGTGATACCTCCAGATCTCTCACTAAACTAAATCTTTTCCACTCCAAGGAAGTGCACTATAACGAGATTCGACTAGTTATATTAACTTTTGGTAACGACAATTTTTATTTTGTAAAGTTGTATTTACTATCATAAAATTTTGTAAAGTATTCGCTTAGTTTTACGACTATAATGTTTCCCTATTGTAAGGGGTTTATTGAATTCAATAAAATATTTCTATAAAAATCCAATTTAATTATTAGGAAAGTGTTAGCATGAATATATCTTTACGATCATTTAGGTTTTGTGGATCATTTTTGAGATTTCGATTTTTAACGTGCGATTTTCAAGGAGCCAACATGAAGTGCTGGGTATCTATCGTTATAGACCTAAATTAATTTAGTATATCTGCTTTTTCAAATATATGAAAAAGGAAGAGAAAAACAATGGAATGGTGGGAGATAACTTAATAGATACCAATGAAAAAAATATCTCAAATTTTTTATAGCTTACTCGAGAGATTTACTCGAGATGTCTTCCAGTAAATAAAAAATTTTTCCATTAAAATTATTTTTTTAATCAATAAGATTTTTTTCCAATTAATTTTAAAATTTGAATAAATTATAAACGTGGATTTAAAAAAATTATTTCCTTAATTTAACTAAAAATTTAACTTAATTACATACGTTAATGGGAAATTTTAAAATAAAATTTATTAGTCAAAATTAATTTTTTTAAATTTTAAACGTGTTTTTGAGATAACATGTAATAAGCAAACAAAGGTTTTATAGTTTACTTTTATACTTTATAGTTTACTTATACATAGTATAATAAAAAAAATCTTGGCTTACAGATTTTTGTAAGCCAAAAATTTATCTTGGCCTTCAGAAGTCGGAGATTGTATTGAGGACCCCAAGATTCCTTACATTAAGAGTAGGGAGTGTCGGGAATCGAAGTTAGTCGGTGAGGACATGTCGGAATTCTGGGTCGTGAAGATGTAAAAATTCTTCAATCAAAATTTCGACATTAAGCGAAAAGTTAGTGATTTATTGGTATAATAAATTTCAGAAAGGCCATGTTTGAAGTTTCTTCCAAATTTCTTTGACTTAAAAAAATTTATTCTTACAAAATGTTTAAAGCCATAAATCCTTCTTTTTAATAACGGCAGGCTCCTCTGAGTGAGGATTTCTTCCCAATTTTTTTGACTTAATAAAAATTTATTCTTAAAAAATGTTTCAAAAACAATATTAGAAAATCCAAAAAAAATTTCTTTCTAAGTTGTGGCATCATAAATTAACGTGTATTTCATTGGACATTAATAAGCTATATTTAATTATTAAGCTAAACAAATGCAAAAAATTTATTTTAAGAAATTTTAAAAATTAAAAAAAATTTTTAATGCGTCATTAATAAATAGAAATTGCTATTTTATAAATAGAAAAATTATTTTTAAAAATTTCCAAAATTAATTCTAAAGCATAAAGCTAAATTTAATTAATTAATTAATGCAAAATTTTTATTTTTTAATATATTTTATTATTTTATTATTTATATTTGCCAAAGTTAATTTTGCCCAATCTCAAAATAATCCCGATGAAATAACTGATAAATTGCCAGGACTTGATTTTAAATTAAATTTTAAACATTATTCAGGTCTTAATATTATTTTGAAAATTTTAAATTAATATCGAATCTCATTTTAAATAACCCTTTTGGGAATGGAATGAGAGTGTACCATAAAAGAGAGTGTTTCCAAGATTGATGTTATAAATCGAGGTTATCTAATCCAAAAATTTCTCCGTCAAGGATCTTCGCTAAGCTCCGTCGATAGATATTTCGTTAAAGCATTATCTAAAATTGAGAGTCAAATTACGAATAGTGAATTAGATATATTGGAAAAATCGTAATCGTAAACAGAATTTAAATGATCGTATCTAAAGGATGAGGTATCCAAATTTAGTGTATCTTGAACACGAGATATAACTGAAATAAAAAATTTATTTTAAGGTTATCTACAAATTTCAAAAACCAAATTTCTGCATTATATGTTGACAAATTCAAAAAATAATCCTGAAAAAGACCCAGTGGTATAATTTTTCTTAAATCAGGCCTCACTATAAGATACAACCTTAAGACTATTAAATTATTTATTATTATGAGGGCTTAACCAGTTGAGCATCTCGCTTATGCATCTCGATAAAAGTATCTCGATAAAAACGCAAAACTCCGGAGACAAGACGGAGGCGTAAGACGCCGTTTATCTCCGTATCTTAAGCATAGCATTAGGCAGCTACTACTACCTTGTAATATACAGGCCTTAAAATAGTATGTAAATTATCTTGGGGGTATTGAAGTTATTTTATAGTGAGGCCCGACGTAAATTTATTTGGTAATTATAAATATTTATTTAAAGATTTTTTGGTATAATGGTGGTCCTGGTTGTTCTTCTCTATTAGGATTATTTACAGAATTAGGCCCTTACCTTTTAAATAAAGATGGGTCTAAATTAATTGAAAATCCTCATTCTTGGAATAACAATGCTTCTGTGGTTTTTATTGAATCACCTGCTGGTGTTGGATTTTCTTATGCAACGGATGGAAATGTTGCCACAAATGATAATATTGTATGATTATTTAAATAATTAAATTAAACATCCTATTACAAGTCTTGACCGTTCATTATTCAAAGGATCACTTAGTGGGATTTGTGTCGGGGCAGGGGGAGTGGTAAATAGACTGAAATTAAGTAATAATTCTATTCATAACTTGAATTATGGCATAAACTTCGATCCCATTCCGCGATCCTACTAGTCTTAAATGCAACCTGAAGTACTCGGTTGTATCGAGGACTACCAAACATTGCCAAATTTCTCCCAACCTTATTTAAGAAATACCCCAATGGATGGATCGTTCAGTTTGTAATAAAATTTTTTAGGCTGCTGATGATAATTATCTAGCAATCAAGCAATTTTTCAAAAAATATCCAAAATTTCTAAAGAATGATGTTTATATTACCGGAGAGTCATATGCCGGTATTTACTTGCCAATGCTTACATCTTTAATTGTTAAAGGAATGAGTAAATTTAAAATAAATTTAAAGGTAGAAATAGTATAGGTAGTTTAAAAAATTAAAAAAAATTTAAATTTCAGGGTCTAGCTATAGGCAACCCTTATTTAAATAAAAAGTTGGATTATGAATCAACACTTATTTATGCATATGGCCATGGTATAGTAGACGAGGAGCTTTGGCAGTCAGTTAAAAAGGATTGTTGTAGAGGCTGTATAGGTACTGTTATTATTTTAATGAGTAGTATTACGGTCCTAGCGAGGGACGTTCGGAAAAATATCGTGTTTTGTTTCGTAACGGGTTTTCAAAAACCCTTCGGTGTTCGGATCGGGAAAAGCACTGGCACGGATTTCGGATGTCATGACCCATTCCTCTCTTATGTGTCATCCCTCCACCATCCCTCCTCTTCGCTCAGCATCATTCTAAAAGTTTAATTTTTAACTTTAGAAGGATGTGATATTGCAAATCTGACCGGAATATGTTCTACTAGTGTAACTTTATTATACTATATTATTTAATAAAACAAAAATTATTTTAGTCAACACAAATTTACAATGCATTTTCCAGCGGCAATTTAAATGCTTATGATATTTATAGAATCTGTGGTAAATAGAAAATAATACGAGCGTAAAAACTTAAAATAAATTAGATAATTCGCCAAATGCCTCTTCCTACCAAAAATATGATATGTTCTCTAGAGCAGCTTTTCGGCTGAAAAATATGGCCAAATTAGCCAAGAAAGCAAAGATGAATATTGTATAATTTTAAATATTAAAATTAATTTAGAGAAATTTTTTAAGATGGAAGAAGATACTAGAAGAGTAAAAAGAGACGACGGAAGTTCGTTTGATCCTTCACCTGTTCCTTGTTTAGCCGGTAAAATAATTAACGAATACTAATTTTTATTTTGATAATAATAGCAAATATCGACTTAAGAATGAGTTAAATTTAAAAAAAATATTGTATTATCGCTAAAAATTTTTATAAAGGATTTACCTTGGTCTTCATAGCTGTTGTCCCCAACCCTCCTAATTGGGAATTATCCTGAACTTGAAATCCCATTCCAATTTCATAGCAAAGTTAAACTAAGAGAGAAAATATGCCCTTGGAATGATCTAAGCATGGATTAAGAATAATAATTAAAATATTGTACCAAAAATTATTTTCTAATCAAGAATAAATATATTTTTTTACTTAAAGATGATACCATGAATACTTATATGAATAAAAAAGAAGGTAATTTGTTATTAGTTTGCTGACTTGATCCGTAGGAGATCCCACACCTTTATAATTTCGTATTACATCGGTTCGATAGTAGACGTATAGCTTTGTTCGAACTTGCTTTTTTGTACGTACTTTTGATAAGCCATCGCCGCGATAGCCTCATTCAATACGGCTCTATTCCATGTACCATCTAATGAATTATCCCATACCAGGGATATAATAATACCAGAATCTTATAGAGTTTTTAAGTCCGTGGATCGATCTGCTCTAACAATTAATATATATACCAAATCTTTTAAACTTTTAAAAACATTTTTAGTTATGAAAGCATTGCATATCAGCCGAAATATAAGATGGAGTTTGTGTAGTGATAGTGTTTCTTCTGAAAATAATTACCAAATAATTCAGCGTAAATAATGTTTAATTTATATTTTATTAGCTTTTGGGTTATCACTTTTCTAACTTCTGTGACCCAGTTTTGCCTTAACATGGACCCGAGTTAAGTATCCAAGGCTAAACCCTTAAACTTTCCAAAAACCCTGATTTTCTTCTAAATGTCAAAGCTGTCAATTGTTGGTCAAAATTTTATATTTAATTAAATTCTGATTAAGCTAAGAATAAATTTTCTGATTAAACTAACAAAAAAATTTTCTAAACAATTTTGTTCAGGAAAATAATTAAATAAAATCTTTCCAGATGACATGACCCCATTTTTCAAAATTATTTTAAACGCTACAGTGCCAACTTTGCTTTATTATGGAGATACAGATTCTGTCTGCAATTTTATTATGGGTCAAAAATTTTCGGAACAACTTGGGCTTAAAGTAAAATTTTTTTGAATTTTTATCTAAAATTTTTTTTTAGCTTAAAAAACCAAAACAAGCCTGGATGTTTAATAAACAAATAGGAGGATTTAAAACAGAATATTTTGGTGGATTAACGTTTCTGACTGGCAAGTTTATATTTACTTGAATTATTTTAATAATTTAAAATTTACAGTTCGAGGCGTTGGTCATATGGTGAAAATTAATTTTTAAAATTAATTTAAAAAAATTAAAAATTTTTTAAGGTCCCCCAGTGGGCCCCTGCTAGAGCTGAATATATTATAAAACAATTTATGAATAACCTTCCTATATAAATTGGGTGGATTTAAATGGATGAAAGAATGTTTCGAAGAAGATAATTTTTGAATTAAAGAGATAATGATAATTTTTTTGAAGTAAATTTTAAAAATTGGGATGGATTTTATGTGATTTTATTATTATAATTAATTACGGGGTTTAATATTTCTTTGCTTTTAATTGCCTCTAATTAATTACAAATTTAATTAAAATTTTAATTGAAAGTAAAGTAAAGTTCTAGGGTGAAATGTTGATTTTTTGCTAAAATTATAGAAACGCTAGACAGTTTTTCATAATATTAGAGTTTTGGGGGAATATTGTCGGAGGGTAATGAACTTCATCACAAAGTTCTAGACATGACATTTTTGGGGAAATTATTTTTAGGGAAATTATTTTTAGGGAAATTTTAATGGAGTAAATTTAAACGCCTTTTGGATTATGATTTTTTTTTAATTCATTGTTTTCCTAAATTTGCCTCTTTTGAAATTTTCTGGAAATTACCTAAAATTTTGGTTTATTTCATGGGAATTTTCCCTACTTTTTAGTGCTATTTAAAAAGGTACCAAATTAAAAAATAAATTATTACATCAAAAATTACATTCAATTCCTTTAATTTTTATACGAAAATTTCCTTCTGATCTCGACTAATAAATTTTACTATTTATTTATTATTTTCTCGATTGATCAATAAATTTATTTAACCGTCTGTTTAATAGTTTGCACACCAGTCACTATCTTTTTTTATAATAAAATAATAATAATATAATTATATGTATACTTTAATTAATAATAAAATTTATAAAATTATCGTTATTATTAGGGTTGTTCACTAACGGATATTAACCGGTACCCCAAGTATATTAACCGGTACCTCCAAATTATAAAAACCCGGTTTACAGTTTTGAGTTTTAGACAAATATCGGAGCACTACTGAAGATGAATGTGCTCGGTGCCTTTTTTGGCAAATATGTAAAAAATGGTCAGTCTATCAAAGGTTCTTGTTCAATCACGTTGATTTTGGTGTCATTCGATAACCTTTGATAGACTGACCATTTTTTACATATTTACCAAAAAAAGACTCCAGGCACCCTCATTTTCAATAGTGACTCGTCGAGCTGTGTCGAATGACACCAAGATCAACGTGATTCCGACTAATGTCATAACTTTGTCAGTTTACGGTTTTGTGTTTTTTTGAATTTTTTAATTTCGAAGAGTTTTATAATTTTTGATAGACTGACCATTTTTTACATGTTTACCGAAAAAAGGCACCAGGCATCCTCATCTTCTGTAGTGCCATACCGGTTTTATTTTGTGGGAATTTTTAATAAAATCATTCATTTTTAGAAATTTTCGATTTTTAAATTTTGTAAAAACGGTTAATTTTTGGCAAAAATATCAAACTTTTCGGTTTTAAAACCAGTCGTGAACAACCCTAGTTATTATTTTTAAAATAAATTATGGAGACTGCTAAAGCATCTATTCTATCTCATATAAATGTCATTGACTTTTCTCGAGTTGTGGCAGCACCTTTTGCTTCAATGATACTGGGCGATTTAGGGGCGAAAATTTGGAAAATTGAGAGGCCTAGTAAGCTGAGATATTTAAATTTGATTTTAAAAATATTTAAGAAATTGGAGATGAATCTCGTTCATTTTATCCACCAATGATTAATGGACAGAGTTGCTATACTCTTTCATTAAATAGAAACAAAAAGAGTGTGGCGATTAATTTGGCAAATTCGGAAGGGCGAGAATTGGTATAATTTATATTTAAGAATAAGAAGTAGCTATCTAAATAGCTCAGGTTTTATTGTTAATATAGAATTTCCCAGAATTCCCAAATTTCCAATTTTATTGTTAATATAGAATTAAGGTGAGATTTAAACTACAGCTAAATGATGACTTTATTTAATCAAAAATGTCTAAAAATTTTGATAAAGGTTCGATTACTCGAATAAGAGAACCTTCCAAATTTCGAAGTACTTCCTAATTTCAGGTACTCGTGCCTCTTCTTTTAGATAAATAACTCCGGAGTCCTCCCTTGAACCTTAACCGTGAAGCCAAAGAATTTATGGTTCAAAATTTTCTCCCAGGAACTTTCCATATTTCTCCAACTTTTTCCATATTTCTCCAATCAGAGTTATTTTTTGATGAAATAAAATTATACGTTTTTTAGATGATTAGTCTAGGTATTATTAAATAATAATTTATATTAAATAATAAATTAGTATATTAAGTAATAATTCATATTAATAATAATTTAATAAAAATAATTATTTTTAATTATTAAATTTACTTTAAAAAATAAAAAATAACAGGCAAGAAAACTTTCAATGCGAGCAGACGTTTTGATTGAGAATTTTAAAACGGGTTATATGAAGAAATTCGGGTTGGATTACGATAATCTCAAAAGAACCAATTCTCGATTAATCTACTGTTCAATATCTGGTTTGACTAAAATATTTTAAAGTTATCAGGAATATTTAAAATTAAAGGTTACGGCCCAGACGGTCCATATTCTGAGGATCCAGGCTATGATGTAATTGCTGCAGCTATAGGAGGTTTGCTAAGCATAACAGGACCACGGACAGCTAATTCTGGTGAATATATTTTAATTTTATTATTAGGGTTGGTCAAGTCGGGCATCGAATTCTTGCCAGAAAAAGACTCGGTCGGACCGGCCCGATAAAAAAGAGGCCAGAAAAAATGAGAAAAAAATGCGGCCCGACTCGAAAACCCCAAACCGATTTATTATCAGGCAACGGGGTGCTTGTTTTCGAGGGAAAGAAGGTTGCGGGGAAAGTTTTTCCAACAACGAGGAAAGTTGTTCCAACAACCGGAAAAAGAAAATTCCTGCAGTCCTTAGGCGGTGCTACCTTGGTCCTTCTTATACATATTGACAACCCCATGAATTGACTAAACTGAAGAACTCTTCAGAGATTAACCTAAAATATGGGTAGAATCAGATGAGGGCTTGAGATAAAAATTCCCAGATAAATAACAATAAAATGTTTAGAACCTTGCAAACCAGGGGTTGCAGTCACAGATTTAATGACTGGCCTTTATGCTCATGGTGCTATACTTGCTGCA